AGGCTAGGTTTATTTAACATGTAGTAAGAAATATTACAGAAATTGAATAAAGTGTATAAATAAAACACTGCATAGTCTTCACTGTGTCAATCAAACTTGATTAACATTAATAATGACAGACAGCAGCAGGTAAAAAAAAGACCGACTGCACGGATCCAAATTACTGAAACGCATTCGGTTTTCACCCAACTCTTTTACATTTATTTAACACATAACCGACTGTGTTCACTTGAATACTCCACACGACGGGCATTATGACATTACTGTGTGCGTATTTGACCATTCAAGCACAATAAAATACGAAAGAGATCTGTTTTCGCGATCGCATGCTGTCTGAGAGGGGCTTTCAGTGCGTGCGCTTCGACTGTGTGTCAGTCAGCGCGAGCACCGCATTGAGTTCTTTTTCACTGCTTATTGTACTTAACTCTACCAAGTGCGTCCAACTCTTTATTTTCCTTATCACTCAAAGGTGAATATAACGTTTAAGCAGTAATATGTTACGCAGATATATTTGCATACCACGGAATACACGATATAGCAAAATCTCTAACGATAAAACACTTTATTTTGCAGTAACGATATATACCGTCATACCGCCCAGCCCTAATTATAAGTGTCTTTACTGGCTTATGAATTTAATTCATCCTTGATTAATAAGTATTAATTTCTTTCAATAAATCTTACTTACTTTTGAACGGTAGTGTACGTGCTCCACCACATCTAATCAAATATCCATTGAGGTGTAACCGACTTGCACCATGTCAGGTTCTGCATCTCCCTATTGTTGTAAGTTGACAGACTTATTCTGTTGGAGAGTTTTTGGAGTTTTTGCAGTCTTAACATAAATAAACTTTTGTTTAAGCTTTTCCACTTCATAATTTTTTCAATATCAAAATAAACCAATTTTTGTCTAGAATGTCCTCCTTCAGATAATTATTTAAATTGATATTTTTAGTACCAGTAACTAACACCACATTCTATAATAATAGCATTTTCAAAGGTAGTATGTTGTATGTTTCTGATAGTATTGTCACGGTACCAAAATTTCAGTATTCGGTAGGGCTGGGTATCGTTCAAAACTTTTCGATACCGATACCTTGACTTCGATACCGGTTCCTGAACGATACTTTTTTTCTATACCAATTTTATGAAATCAATTTTAACAAGATTACATTATCTAAAAAAAAAAAAAAACTTTGGTTTTATTTTTCAGCTTGTTGATGTTTATACAAACTCAAAGACTCATCTCCTGAGCCACTGCATAATTTCTTTCAATAAATCTTACTGACTTTTGAACGGTAGTGTACGTGCTCCACCACATCTAATCAAATATCCATTGAGGTGTAACCGACTGCACCATGTCAGGTTCTGCATCTCCCTATTGTTGTAAGTTGACAGACTTATTCTGTTGGAGAGTTTTTGGAGTTTTTGCAGTCTTAACATAAATAAACTTTTGTTTAAGCTTTTCCACTTCATAATTTTTTCAATATCAAAATAAACCAATTTTTGTCTAGAATGTCCTCCTTCAGATAATTATTTAAATTGATATTTTTAGTACCAGTAACTAACACCACATTCTATAATAATAGCATTTTCAAAGGTAGTATGTTGTATGTTTCTGATAGTATTGTCACGGTACCAAAATTTCAGTATTCGGTAGGGCTGGGTATCGTTCAAAACTTTTCGATACCGATACCTTGACTTCGATACCGGTTCCTGAACGATACTTTTTTTCTATACCAATTTTATGAAATCAATTTTAACAAGATTACATTATCTAAAAAAAAAAAAAAACTTTGGTTTTATTTTTCAGCTTGTTGATGTTTATACAAACTCAAAGACTCATCTCCTGAGCCACTGCACAAAGGAACAAAATGTAACCAACACAATAAATCAGTGCAAAATAATTGTAATAGAGCTCAAATAGTCTTCAGTTTACACATCTGTTAGGCTACATTTACGCTAGTTAGTGTTCGTGTTAAAACGCATAGCTCAGACAGAATCATGATTTCTATTTATTTTTCACTGATTTACTGATGAGCATTAGCAGCTTCCAGCGCTGTCTGCTTGTGTTCTCCCTTCCATGATTGCTGCTCTGACTAATAACTGAGGTAATAACATATTTAATTTCAGCAACATTACATGACCAAACACACATTAGACGGCAATCGGAAGTTATTACAAACACTCGATGGTGGTTTAAAGTGAGTTTTGAGTAAAAGCGGAATATAAATCTTATTTATCGTCTTATGTAGGAAAAACCTGGCTTTTTTTTTTAGTACCAACTTGGTACCGAAGTACCGGGTCTTTTGACAACACTAGTTTCTGAGTAACAGCTGTGTGTTCAGTCTGCTGTGAACAATAGCTTGAACAACAGTTGTGCACAGTGGTAATTCCGCCAGACCTTAGCAGCTGGTGTCTGATTCAGAGTTCAAAGTTCAGGGTTACACAAAGAGGTTCAAATGGCGAGACCCCTGCCTTTCATTCAGAAAGTGTGCATGTGAGATTTGTGGTATAGCCCTGCTGTCAAGCTCTATTCAGGAGCACTCGCTCTTGAGACCATAGATACATGATTTCTCCCAAGGAAAAGCACACTGAGCAACAAACAACTCTGTGGCCTTGCTAAACTTAGAAACCACCCCTGAATGCAAGTGCAGTAGTATGCTGCCTGACTATATCTGATAATAAAGCTGTGTGTGTGTGGATTTTCTCTCATAGTTCATCATACTGGTAGTGGACAGTACTGACAGAGAGAGACTAGCCATTTCTAAAGAAGAGATCTACAGGATGCTAGCACATGAGGTAATGCTTTAACATTTACAGCACACGGAGCATGAATATAAATCCCATCTCAAAAAAAGCACAATTTTGAGTCTGTTTTTCAGTTGTTTTCTATTTTCATTCTCTCAGGATCTGCGCAAAGCTGCAGTGTTGATCTTTGCTAATAAGCAGGACATGAAGGGCTGTATGTCTGCAGCAGAGATTTCCAAATACCTGACCCTCAGCTCCATCAAGGATCATCCCTGGCACTTCCAGTCCTGCTGTGCGCTCACTGGAGAAGGGTAAGACCTGCAGTATAGACACAGGGATTACCTGTCCTAGCTTGTACGGTGTAATAGATTGATGATGGCAAAATGTACAATCAACCCAATAATACAATCATCCCAGGCTCAGTGGGAAAATGTGCCCCTACCTACATTTTTACAAAACTCTGTATGTACCTGTATGTAAAAATGTACCTATACACATAGTTCATTGAATGTTCCAGCTGAAATGAACACTAGTGACAGTAAAACATCAACAACTTTATTCATTTTCACAATAAATTATGATTACGGGACAGAGTATTGATTAATAAATACTTATTTTCACGTGGTTCCTTGCACAATGCCAGTGTTTCCCATTCATTAACTAGACTGTGGCAGCCCGCGTAATATGACTTATCAAGTCTGTTTGCGCTGCTTGTTTCAAAGTGAAGCGCGCACATTGCGCAGCGCACGCGATCGGCTCGGGATCCGGTGTTTTTCTCAGAGCGGCTC